CCGGAGTTCTTTCCACTTTGCATCTGGGGAGCTGCGTAACTCATTTTGCGGATAAGTATAATACATTTTCTGGTTGATTTTATCACTCCATTCATTTCATTCTGTATTTTGAGGATTCCGAAAACTGTGGACTTAGGAAGCATGATTTCGTTCTACTTTCGCTAACATCTCAGTGCGTTCTTGCGATGTCCTCTTGTGCGACTGTCTAACTTACTGATGGCGCCCACCTCCCAGTGGTTAGCCCGGTCTGACTGTCTTGATACTGTACTGAAATTATTTTTTTTTTTGCAAATATTTGCTGAAAGAGGTAAGAAGTGAGAAATGCAGTTTCCCTAAAATTTACTGGTTTGTTTCAGTTGCAGGTTGATACAGGTGTGTAGTATGTTGGGGTGGGGGTGGGGTGGAGGAACTGCCTTCATTGTGCTTCCAACCAACTGTCCCAAGAAGAACCATTTACAACTTTGCCAATGAATGGTTTCTTTTAAGTGAAGTGTTGCCATCCGGGTCACTTTCGAGTGCTCCTGTCCTTCATATGAGCCACCTTTGAAGAGTATTGATACAAGAAGTGCACTGCAGGATATTGTGAGCGATGGCATGCTCTCTATTGGACTTGCAATGGGCCATGAACTCAAATTGTTCGATGCGGTTGCTGCTGTGTCAAGTGCAGAAAAACCGGCAACCTCTCAAGTGATAGCCGAAAAAGCCGATATGAAAGAACGGTGACATACTAAGCCTAATTTTAACGTGTTACCACATATAGAAATTAATTTAAAATGCTGCCATGCTTGCAGCCAGATTGCAAATACGTAATGCTGACAAGGAAGAAGTTGGCAGCTGGGTTTATCGTGGGCAAGAAGTAAATTTGCGTTACAATTTCCAGCCAGAGACTGCACGTCAAAAGACTGGCGATTGCCCGAAATTTCACAACATCGCTAATGTTCTTAAAGTGTCGAATCGGAAGGATCGTCCCCCCTTTCTACACCACTGTGTTGAAAGCATACGAAACTTGATCACTCATGAAAAGCGAACGCGGGTTATGATGGAGAAAGCGGTGTAACGAAAGATGCTCGGTTCATCTCCTCGTAACCATATAGGTAATCAGACTTTCAGTCAAATGAGCCATGTGCAAGATATCTTTTTGACAGGAAGTAATAAAAACCGATAGGCAGGGCATTTTGCTCACCTCGCCCACAACCAGTGAATGTCGCAAATTAGTGAGTGGTATCCACAAGAAAGTAAACGAGCACTTGCCCCCCCCCCCCCCCCCCCCCCCCCCCCCCCCCCCC